ATGGCTTGGCTGAGACTGTAGAGAGCGGGGTCTTCCCCTTCGTCTTCACTTTCTGCTACGTCCTCAGTTTCTTCTGGTTCGGCAATTTTCTTTTTCTTCTTTTTTTCTTTCTTCTTTGGAGGCTCACGTTCTCCGAGCATGTTTTTTGAGAAGGTGGCCCTGGTGCAGTGGCGTTTCAACCCCGACTTTTCCTGGCCCCTTGCAGCGGCCGGGGCATCCCGCTCCCGGGCGGGGTCGGCGCAGAGCCCTGTGGTCTCGGCAGCGAAGGGGCCCTGCGCGGCTCTCTTCGGTTGGGCCGCACTGGCGGGCACATTTGAAATTTAATTTCTGTCATTGATTTTTTTTGTCATTGGTTTTTGAATAATCTGCAGATTGACACACCCAGCCTCCTTGACTTACTTTCTCATTGGTAAGAAACACTTTATCCAGAAAAGTTTTTTTTTTTCCTTTGAAGGTAGGATTTTGCTCTTAAAATTAAAACCAGTTTTCTATAGTAGTGATTAGCAACATGGTCTTAGGGGACCGGGGATTTAGCTCAGTGGTTCCACCACCTGCCCTGCAAGCTCAAGGACCCGAGTTCGATCCGCGGTACCAAAATAAAAAAAAAAGGAATATGGTCTTAGGCTCACTAGATGTGAAAAAAATGTGAAAATCATTAGGTAAGTATGTCAGAAGTAGTGATTCCATAATGATAGTCTGCTACTTATTGTGCTTAAGCTGGTAACCAGTATCTTTAATTTTGAAGTAATAAAATGAAATTAAAAGAATAAGCAGTAAAGAGACCAACAGTTACAAATTTTAAAATACCACTTATAACAACATCCAAAATATGGAATAGCTAAGGGATAAATATAATATGTACAAATATAAAAGAGAAAAATATAATGTGTTATACTTTCACTTAGAAAATTATATTTTGGTGTGGACTTTTTCTCATAGATAAACTTAAACGCACAAGTGTATACTCTTTAAGAATTTATTTTCATTGTCTTTGATCTAATTGTAATAATTTACCTTCATGTAGTAGTATTTCTTGGTATCTATGACAGTAATCATAAATCTCCTTAATTTTTTTGGTACCGAGGACCGAACTCAGGTCTTTGCACTTGCACAGCAGGCGGCGAAACCACTGAGCTAAATCCTCGGCCCTAAATCTCCTTAATTTTAAAAGAAATTTTATTGGCTGCAAGATATTTCATAATGTTCATTTACTTTTAGTTCTCTTTTTAACCTTTTAAAAATTAGTAAGTATAATGTCTAGAGAACTTAGAGCAAACAAAAACATGTAGTTGAGTATTAAGTGAATGTTAATCTGTCATCCAGGAGAGTAAATGAAGCATTGATGCCCTTGAAACCTCGCTTTGTGCCTTTCCCCTCTGTCTCCTAGACGAAATCACTAATATGGCTTTATGACAAATCACTTTCTTATTCTTTTGCCCCTAAACAGTAAGTTTTTTTATTATTAAAACAAAGCTTTATATATGTATATAATGGAATAATTCAGCATGTTTTTTCTGTATTATTCAGCTTAATATATTTATAAGATTTGTGCACATTGTATGGAATTGTGGTTTCTTTCAGTAAGGTTTTATAGTTTGTGGATTCCTTGCACAGCTTTCATTATATTTAATTTTTAGACAGTAGTTTTGATTTTATTGTAAATAATAGCTTTAAAAGGCCTATTACTGGATTTTGCTGTTGGTGTATAGAAATACAATTTCCTTTTCTGTGTTTGAATTCAGGAATCTTGCATAATTTGACCAGTAGTTTGAGTAATTTAAATGTTCTTTTGGTTTCTTCTGGATTTTCTAAGAATCCTAATCCTAATCTGTAGATAATGATTGTTTGTGTCTTCTTTTCCAACCCCAGAGGTCTGATTCTGGGCCCCAACTATCTGAATTTGTTTGCCCACCTCCCATCAAGAATACCCATAAAAATGGAAAAATGAGTTTATTTATAATTTGGCCAAATTGGAGGTGTCATTCCTGGCCTGCCTCTGAGCAAACACACAGCCCTCAGCAAACAACTGGCTACTCTCAGTAAACAGAACAGATGGCCATAAAGAAAATTTAGGATGAAATATATGTCTCCTCAGTACCAGAGTCCAGTGTTGTACATGCACCTGTGCTGACTCTCCTTGGACAGTCATAAACATTCCACTCCAGATCATAGCATCTCTTCTAGAAACTCATATAAA